TCAAGGTGCGCCGAGTGCTCCCTCACAGAGAGGCGAACGGCGAGGAAACGGCGGCGTGGCAGCACTCGCGCACCTCTTGGGACCGTTTGAGTGGGCTAGATAGGGTTATACGGAGCTGTCAGTAAGCCTGTGCTCTTCACTTGTCAGCTTGGTCGAGCGAGAGAGCCAGTTGGACCACCTTGACCTCCCCACTTGGCCGTTCCTCATCAACGGACCACTCTCACTCGCTCACACACGCTCAGAGACGACTTGCTAGGGTCAGGAACACTCTCAGCATCGCGTAGAACCATGGCGACCCTGCCCGGCGCACTCCCATCACCTCCCACCTCGTCCCTATCCTCCTCAGCGACACCAGGTCCGCCTCGACTCGTCAACCTGTACCACGTGCGGACAGTCGCGACATCAAAGTCCTGCTGGATCTGTCACCGGGAAACGACGTGCTGTTTGGCGACAGAGGGCGTGACGGACTTTATCTACGCATGCAAGAGCCATTTGTTGGATCCAGGGGTGAGTCGACAGGTCCACGGCGACGCTGTCGGCTGTCAAACGATCTTGACGATTCAGCGTGGCCGATGGCGACCTCTTGGCGACGCTCGCTGACCGCTTGTCCCTCGCACAGTTCGCCAAACCCGCTCCTTCGACCTCGACTCCCTCCGCCTCCCCGTCCGGCTCTCCCGCACCTTCCCCAGTCCCGCAATCCGAAATCGACAAAGTCAAGCAAGAATACGAGGAGAAGCAGAAACGAAAAGCTGAGGCGGAAAAGGGCGACAGGGACAAGGACGCCGAATCTTCCTCTTCAACGACAGCCGGTGCCGCAGCCAGTACCGCCTTCTCGCTCTTCCGTACCGGCGCATCAGCTCTCTCTTCCCTCTCTTCCACCGCCTCTTCGACCCTCTTCCCAGCACCTCCACCAACCCCTCCCTCCCTCGCCGAGACTCAACGAGCCGCCGCCGCTTCCGCAAAGACGCTTGTGTTGCAGCGGGACTTCTTCAGGATGAGGCAGGAGCAGAAGAGGCGCGAGTGGGAGAAGAAGGATGCGGAGAAGAGAGGCAAGGAGTGGAGTTTCCCCAAGGCCCCGTCGGGTGGGTTGCCTAGTCTGCCGTGAGGGCGGTAAGGACGTCAGGGCGTGTCATGTGCACGGATGTAGACATGTTGTCGGTACGTCTGCGCCGTTGATCGGGCGTCTTGGCCCGTCGCTGATTTCGTTCTCCGACTTCGCAGTATTACCGGAATCACTATCTCTCGATCCCGTCTCTGGCTCACCGTCGCAGTTGTCGAGCGCGGCGTGTACTGTACCAATCTCTCGAGGTCCCACACTCTCATGCGAACCGAAGGAATCGCTTCCGATCTGCCTTGCCCTTCGCCGTCACCGCGCTCCCCTTCGTCCTCGCTCCGCGAACTCTCGGTCAACGAGTCGGCGAGTCTTCCTCAGCGTTAGTTGGCCTATTGTAGCCCTTTCCAAGCGTACTTGTCACTACGACTCTTGCCATCTCCCTCGCACTTCTCTTCGCCTCGTCCCTTCGCACGCTCTCGCTCATTCACGCCGTGACAAGTTTGCTGGTTCACGCTGGCGCTGTACACTCGCTTGCACGAACAACCGTCACCCGCCGCATCACAGGAAGCCCTCCCTCTCGTCCCGCTCGCCTCCCCCACTACCTCATCGCAGTTCGCCCTTTTACCCCTCTCCATCCCTCCTGCGACCGGCGAACCACCACAACCAACTCTCGCCAGCTCTTCAATGTTCGCTCCCGCCGCTCCCCTCGCCCGCGCAGTCTCGAAAGCCCGCACTGCCGCGTCCCAAACCGCCTCGGAGATCCAAGACGACATCCACGTCGCCGAGCGCTTGTACGCTCAAGCGACGCATCCAGAGGATGAGGGTCAGGAGGTACCGGAGGAGTTGGACGCGGATGAGGCGGAGGAGGTTATTGAGGATGAGTATAGGCCTTTGATGGATGGGGAGGAGGGGGAGGAGGGGCGTGATGGTGAGGCTGGTGGGAAGGCAGCGAAGGGCAAGAGGAAGAGGTGGGATGAAGAGGGAGGGGAGACGAAGGTCAGGAAGTTTGAGGTCTGGCTCGCGCAACTCATCTTCTTCGTGCGTTTGCCATCTCCTCCCTCAGCCGCCGAACCCGCACTCACGAGACGTCGACTACCAGATCCTCGGCGCCTGCATCCTCCTCTCCTGGAACACCGAGATCGTCGCCGGCGCCTACTTCGGCGCACGACTCGTCGGCTCGCCCTTCCAGACCAGCTTTGCGAGCTTCGTCGCCTTGACGTTCACGACTGGCAATTTGGCATTCCTGGCGCATGCGAATGCGACGCAGGGAGGGGTACATTTGCCTTCCAACCGAAAAAGCAAGCATGGCTGATGAAATGAGAATGCAGGCCAACCTCTCGCGGCGGATTCAAAGCAGCATCGTCACGCTTATCCTGATCCTCGTCATCTTCATCGTCTCGACGCAAGTCAAGGAGATCCCAGCAAAGTGCGTGCGAACTCACTCCTGCAATTGCGTGCCCAGCTGATGCCCCGCGCATCACAGCCTCTTCTTCGCCTACCTCATCGTCTCGGCCGTCATCCTCGCCGCCTCCGCCTCCTACCTCCAGAACGCTGTCGTCGCACTCTCCGCCAGCTTCGGTCCCCGGTTCCTCAACCAGATCTTGTCGGGACAAGGGGCTATCGCGTTCGCCGTCGCTGGGATCCAGTTCGCGGCTGCGTACGGCGCAGTCAAGAATCAGAAGCCCGAGTCTCCATCTAGCGCATTCCGTCTGCAAGCGGACTACGCGCTATCCGACCCGCAACTCGTTGCCGACCTCGCAGCGGCCGTCCCGCCTCCCGCTGTCCGACAAACCGCATTCACCTTCTTTCTGACCGTCGGGATCTTCGCCGCCGTCTCACTCGTCTCGTACTGGGTCCTTCTCCGCCTCCCGCTCTATCGCCTCGTCATCCGCGCCTCATTCGACGAAGATGCCGCAACGACCAAACCCAAGCAAGCCGCCTCCTCTACCTCCCTCCACGTCGTCGAGCGCAAAGTCCGCCACCTCGGCATCGCAATGTTACTCATATTCGCCGTCACACTCGCCGTGTTCCCCTCCATCACCGCGACAATCGTCTCGGTCAAGACGGGCGAGCCGGACGTCAAGCTCTTCCAGAGACCGGAGCTGTTCGTACCGCTTGGATTCGCGGTGTTTGCGGCGGGAGACTGGTTGGGGAGGGTCATGCCGCAGTGGGAGAAGCTCGCGTGGACCAACTGGAAGATCTTGATGGGGATTAGCGTCGCGAGGCTGATCTTTGTGGTGCGTTCGTCTCGACTCTGGTGATGGAAGCCTCGGACTGACCCATCGACGCGCGCAGCCCCTCTTCTTGATGTGCAACCAGACAGCGGGAGGAGCTGGACGGGCAATCATTCGCTCGGACGTCGGTGAGTCTTCCGTCCCCGCTTCTTCGCAAATTGCATCGCTGACTACGACACTGCGCAGCCTTCTTCCTCATCATGTTCGCCTTCGCCGTCTCGAACGGCTACATCTCGACGCTCATCATGCTCGCGTCGGTCGTCGAGCCATCGCTCGAGCAGGAGGAAATTGAGGTGCGTCCCATCTACCTCTCGCATCTTGATGTAGTGCTGACTCGCCAGCACGCAGGTCGCCGCGACATGCCTCGCTTTCTACCTCACGGCGGGTCTTTCAGCCGGCTCCTTCCTCTCGTTCGCCGTGCGCGCCGCCACTTGCCGCTGCAACCCCTTCGTCTAGACTCTCGCTTCTACCTCACACAACAGACACTGTATGTAGCACTTTCGTACTGTCCGTTCACCTCCTCGCAACGCAGCAGCACCGCTTTCGGACAATCCGCGGATGTTCCAGCCCTCGCTCTCCCTCGTTAGCTTCTCCCACACCCGCTTCGCGACCGCTGCAGCTTTGCTGGATGTCGCATGACTTCCGATGACGAGTCTTCGACGAGCAGCAGCTCAAGCGGGTCGTCCTCGTCCTCCTCCAGCAGCGGGCGGGAGAAGACTCCTCCACGACACAAGCGGCACTTCCTGCACTATCATCGCCCTCACTTGCGCTTGCACCGACATCACAGTCGAGAGGAGCGGGGTTCAGGGTCGTCGGAGTCGGAGGACGAGTCGAGCAGTTCTTCGGACGAGGAGGAGGTGCGTTTCCCGGAAACGCCGCGAAGTCGACCTTACGCCGACTCTCGATCCGCAGGACGACGCAGGCAGCGGCTTTTCGTCGCTGACATGGGCCCTGATCGTCATGCTCGCGCTCGTTACGACTGCCGCCGTTGTACTCGGGGTGATCCTCCTCAAAACGCCGAAGAGCGCGCCGGCTTCTTCGGCTGATGGCAGTGGCTCGCCGAGTCCGACCGGTACAGACGTGACGCCGACGGCTACGGGCGACACGGCGTCGCCAACAGCCACCGAGACCGGGACGACGCCGCCTTCGACCGCAGTTCCAGCATCTGGTTTCCTCGGTTCCCTCGCCGCCTCTTACACTGTCACTCCTGCCGCAGTACGGACACTCGCCATGCCGTCCTCAGCGATACCCTCTCCTTCGGCCGCCGTCAGCTACATCGACTCTTCGTGGACGCGCAACAAGGGCGGATCGGCAGAGACGCTGTCGTTCGTCGACGATCCGCTCGACGCAGGAGGAGGACCGGTCCTCCAGGTCGTGTACAAGAAGGGAAGCTACAGCGGTGGAGGAGTCGGCGGGATCGGGAACTGGCAGTTTCCCGTCTTTGGCGAGAAGAAGAACAGGGCGGTCCTCAGTTACGAGGTGCGCTCGCGATCGCCTTCAGGGCTTCGTTCGACTAATAGTCGTGTTGCGCAGGTCGGCTTCAGCAAGGACTTCGACTTTGTCAAGGGCGGCAAGGCTCGTCTTGCGTTCGCACGCTCCTTTCCGTCTGCTGACTCGCCCCTTATCCTTAGCTCCCAGGCTTGTTCGGCGGCGACACGAGCTCGGGTTGTACGGGCGGGCGAGCGAGCACGAATTGTTTTTCGCTACGACGTGAGTCCTCGACAGCTTTGCGAGGTTGATCAAGGCTGACCCTCGCGTCTTCAGTCATGTGGCGAGACAAGGGCGCTGGAGAAGGTTCGTTGCATCGTGGCTCGTCAGCAACATCTCTCTGACCCTTAACCGCGCAGTCTACGCCTACATCCCGACATACTCCGGTTTCTGCGGCACGAGTGCTAGTCCGACGAGCGTCTTCTGCCACCAAGACGATTATGGAGGTGCGCCTGCAGCAAGAAGATGGGCTTTACGAGCGAGCTGACGCTTGTCTGACGCTCACAGCGAGCATCGACCGCGGAGCGTTCTCCTTCGCAGCTGGCAGGTGCGCATCGCGTTGCTCAAGCGAGACTGTTTGAGCAACATTGTTTGACCGATCTCATCTTCCACGGCCTCCGGTGCCACAGCTGGACCACCGTCACCCAGGTCGCCATCCTCAACTCGGCGCCGGACAAAGCCAACGGCATTCTCGAACTCTACGTCGGCGAGAAAGCCGTCATCCAGCTCAACAACGTCATCTTCCGCACCAACACCTCGGTTTTCATCAACGCTCTGACGTTCTCGAGTGCGTGGTGCCACATTCTTGACTCTATGTGACGGCGACTGAGGCTTGTTTGCATGCGAAGCCTTCTTCGGCGGCTCGACAACCGACTATGCCGCCACCGCCGACTGCTGGACCTACTACCGAAACTTCCAGTTCTTTGAAGGCGACGCCGCAAGCTCGACGAACGGTTTGACGCAGTCAGCAGCCAAAGTTGGATCGTGAAGGCTGCCCGTCAGATCCCGGTCGACCGCCAATACACCTTGCGGACTGCGTCGACACCCTCTCCAGCCCCTCTACTTGAGACTCTCAGACGCAGCGCTCGGTTAGCATCGCTCGCTCTACAGGCCTGAGGAAAAGTGCGTACCGCCTTGCTCGCCCGTCTCCAATGGAGCTCAGCCTTACCGTCTCTCTTTCACCAGCTCTTGTCCGTACCCACGCGTCCAAGGCCTCAAGAGCTTGGCAGCACTGCATGCGGGTCGGTACTGCAGCTTCGGCTCGCCTCGACCCCTCGCCGTCTTCTCACCTCGATCCTGCCCGACGCCAAAGATTCGACGCCGCCCCACCGCCCGTCCATCTCGAGTCGAGCCGACTACTGCGGCGCGGTGATTGAGCTCTCAGCGTGTAGACGTCCCCATCAAGCCATGCAACGATCCGCACGAATCTTTCTCGCTTTCCTCCCGCTCCCGCGCAGCTTCTCGTACTGGGGACCGCGTACACAGCTACGAACCGACTGTTACATGTCCAGAGTAACGCGCTACAAAAGAGAGAGACGAGGTCGTCGATTATGCTTGGTCGAGAAAGAACGAACGAGGGGGGAGAGACTTCTAGGATGCACTTCTACGTCGCACGGATGCACAGATGATGGTACAAGGAACAGTTTCACTCCTCACGCCTCAACGATCACGTCACCCGACTCTTGGTACCCGCTGTCCTGCCTGACGACACACGCGCTCGCATACTCTCCCAACCCGCTCGTCCAAGCCGGACTCTTATCCTCCCTCGCGATGCCCAACGACCTCTCCGTCACGGGTTTCTCGATCGCCCCCGCCCGACGCAGTTGTTCGCCGTCCCGGTCGAGGAGCGATTTGGTCGTCAGGTTGCAGAGACAGTGGTTCTTGATTGGTTCGGTGATGGTGGGTGTCGCGCGGTCGGCGCTGTAGGCGGGGAGGAAGAGAGAGTCGACGAGGCAGCAGCTGCGAGACGCGCATCCGGAAAACGAGAGTCAGCTTCGCAAGCAGCGGACGAGAAGGAGAGCGAGAGCGAGACGCACCAGCTCGTGATGGTGACGGGCTTGCCCATCGTCAAGACCATCTCCTCATCCGACCCGTCCTTCTTGTACCTAACCTCGACGCTCAACACATGCGACACGCGAATCCTCGTCCCCCTCGACCCGTCGAGCGTACTCGGGCGTACATGGTCGTCCGTCGGTACACGACAGATCCTCGCATGGTGGAACTCTTGACCCGCCTCGAGGTGTACGAGCGGACTTGGGTCGGGAACGGGCACGTCTGGGTGAATCGCGCAGCATTTCGAGACGGGTCTGAACGAGGGAGCTGGGACGCATGGGTTCGTCTGAGCTGGGATCGCGCCTTCGTCTAGTTGTCCAGGTTCTTCGGTACACGTCGCCGGGTTGTGGATCGGGACGACAAGCGACGGGCTAGCCTTCTGGTCCACCTTCGTCAAGACGTGAGCTTTGGGTTTCGGACGCGCAACCCGCCCGTCGGCGTAGGTCACTTCAAAGGTTTGCGTGATGATGCCGTTGACGGAGATGATGGTGACTGGTTTGACGGGACCGAGGAGAGAAAGGCGGATGTTGACGAGTGCGGCAACCGTTAGGTGAGGCGACGAGACGCCGATGCCGACGGGCTGAGTTTCGCTCCAGAACTCGTCAGTACTCGAGAGCAGGGGTGTAGAGTCAAGAGCGGGTTGACTGACGCCCAAGTCTTCGGAAAAGTGCTGGAACGACAAGTCCGTCGTGCTGGGCAACTCGCCGGGCGGAGAGGGGTTCCCGCAGACCCAGAAAGCGACCGACGGGGAGCAGACCGATGGGCTGAGTACGCCATCAAACTCGACTGTCGCTTTGACTGCGAGGGGAGGAGTTAACTTGACTCGTTGAGCCGGAGAGGAGCGCGACGAACCGTAGTACCGTATGCGGCCGTAGATACAGCGCTGCGAGGCGGGCGTCGTCGAGGGGATGATGAATGCAAAGTTGAACCTGAAAAGCGACGCGAGGAGAGGATCGTGAGTCACGGACAGACGAAAGCGTCTCTTAACGTCCGAAAGCCGCCGCCGGCTCCTGCGCCGCACAACGAGTGAACGAGAAAGGCAACGCACGCGTGATGACCCTCGGAGATGCACTCGCCGCCGAGGTCCGTCTCGAGCTCCTTGCGAAGGACGAGGGTCGTCTCGTAGGGGTTCCCGGCGCCGGCTGCTCGACTCGCGCATCAGCTCACGATGTTCTAGCGTATTGAAAGAGGGTGAGCGCACCCTGGACGTCGCAGAGGCCTTCGAGGACGACCTTGATGCGCTTGACTGCCTTGCGAGAAGGGAGCGAGAGGAGCGTCGTCCCTCGCAAGACTGGGTCTTGGGTCTGTTTCGCTCGGGAGTCGTCAGTGCGTGCGTTCCACGTCGAGAGAGAGAGAGTGCGCGGATTCACGGGGTAGTCTGCGTCGACGGGATGGACGAACACCTCGTCTTCGGAGAGGGTGACCTTGACAGTCGGCGAGCTGAATAGGGACGCGAGCATGGCTCCCTTGACGAGTGTGGGTATTGGGAGAGCGAGGGAGGGAAAGAGAGATGGGCGGAGTGTGCGGCGGGTGGGGCGCCTGCTGCTGACACACGCAAGCAATCGACGGCGGAACTCCTGCGCGAGTCAGGGAGCACTCGCACTGGGTCAACCGAGCTTGCTAGAACGTCGCGTCGACGTGGAAGACAGGCGGGTAGTCAAAACGCGCGACTTGGCTTGCGCGGCTGCAGTGGGAACAAGTGGGAACGAGCGGAGACAGCGGCCGGAGGACGAGGAAAAAGAGTCAAGTTGCCGCCGGGAGATGGGCCGCCGCCAGTGGATCGCCCAGGCTGGGGCTCGCGTGGAAGGCTGCGACGCTGGAACGACAGAGAACACCCGTCCAGCCCAACAGGAGACGGTGGGGAGCGCGCGTCCTCCTCCTCGAGCGAGCGAGAGAACGAACGTCCCTCCTTCGCCTCGCGTCGCCGGGCGTACGGGCGGAGTGCGAGAACGATCTGCGCCGAGTACTTGCAGCGTGTCCATGCGTTGTCAGCAAGCGCGCCCACGACGTGGACAATGGCGGGCGGTCTGGGGATGCAGCCCGGATGAGCGGGCGAGCACAGCGCGCTGTCGACTCTCGGTGCGCTTGACTGCGAGTGTGAGTGTGTAGTCACAGCGAGAGTCAGAGTGTCACCAGTACACTCGAGCTGTCTGTGCGAGAGAAGGAGTTGGCGTGGACAGGGAGGACTCGGGTTGAGCTCGACTTGGGCGAGGGAGACGAGCGACGGCCACTCGCTCACCACTCACACTCTCTGCTAAGCCACGATGCACGCCCGGTTGATCCAGTCCACACGCCAAGTCGCTCGCCTCGCAACCGCAGGCGCACGCATCGCCGCGCCCAAGCCTGCCGCCCTCCCCCGCGCCATGTACGTCTCCATCTCGACTCGTCCCGCATCGCCATCGCGTCCCGTACAGTGCTCGCTTGGCCTGGTGGAGTGTACTGTGTGGAGGGAACTTTTGGCACGGGCAGCGAGGCGCACGGAGCGGGTGTCGTGGAGGATGCACCCGCGAAGCTGATGGGCGACGACCGGTTCGATCCGCCACTACTCCACGCACGCGGGCAGCTCGACGGGGGTTCCACGGCTTTGTATGGATCGGAGGAGGACACAGGAGCAGCTGGGACCAAGCGCATCGCACTCATTGAGCCCCTGAACTGACCTTGACCTGCTCTTGCCGCAACACAGCCCCTCGATCCGCCTCCTCACCCAGTCCGCCTTCCAGCTCTACGACCGCACCTCGCACGCGACCGGCGAACAGCCCGGCCACATCCCGCTCGGTTCGTCGGCCGACTCGCTGCCGACCGTCACCGAGGGCTCGCCCGAGTTTGAGGAGAAGACGGCCCGCACCGTCTTTGTCGGCAACATGAGCTGGAGCGTCGATGAGCAGTGGCTCGAGAGCGAGATCACCAAGGCCCTCAACGTCGAGGACCCCATCACCGCTCTCCGGATCGCAAAGGACCAGCAGAACCGCTCCAAGGGGTGCGTTCGCGACCTTCGCTCGTCACAGTGCGTCCAAACTGACCGTGTTCGTTGGACGCCACAGCTTTGCCTTTGTCGAGCTCAAGGATGTCGAGCTTGCGCACCAGCTCCAGTCGCTGATCGAGCCCCTCAACGTCGATGGCCGCGAGCTCAACATCTCGCAGGCCAACCGGCCCGTCAACATGGTTGCCCGCACGGGCGACGGCCAGTCCCGCGGCCGCCGCGCCGACGGGCCGTTTGAGATCCGCCCCCCTCGCTTCCCCCCTTCGTCGACCATCTACGTCGGCAACGTCGCTTGGTCCGCGGACGAAGTCACCCTCGAAGAGACCTTTGGCCAGTACGGTCAGATTCTCCGGATCTTCCAGCCCAAGGACCGCGAGTCGGGCCGCGCGATCGGTGTCGCGTTCGTCGAGTTCGAGAACGTCGACGAGGCGACTGCGGCTGTCGAGGCAGGCCAAAGGCGCATCAACATTGATGGACGGACGGTCCAGATCGACTTTGCGTCGGGCAGGAAGGACGGACCCGCTGGTGGACGCGGCGGAGGACCTCGTGGCGGTGACCGCTTTGGTGGCAGGCAGGGAGGCGCGTCCCGCGGCGGATACGGAGGACAGGACCGTCGCGCACCGTACGGTGGCGAGCGTGACTCGTTTGGCGGGGGCGAGCGCTACTAGATGCGCTTCTTTTTTCTGTTGATCATCGACCTTTCTATCCCTCCTCCCCCCTCTGGTCCCCTCTGCTTCTCATCCCTCGTTCCGGTCGCGCTAGAGAGGCGCATCCGTCTTTTGTAGCAACACACTCCTCTTCACCCTGAAAACTCGCAACTCTTGATCCCCCCAGTCTCGAGGACTTCACAACACGTCTCTCTTCTCTTTCCCTTCACCCACTCGCTCACCTGCGCTGTCTGTTGATCTCGCTGGTCTCGGAAGAGAGATATGTTCCGACCCGGCGGGGGTTCAAACAATCTTGCAACGAGCGCAGCTCGCAACTAACTATCCAAAGCCAAGTTAACTCGGAAGAAAGCGATCCACCAGGGATTCCGAAACGAAGACCGCGCCTCTGGCTGCGAGTCTTTTGGGGGGCGTCGCGGCTTGCGCGGGGGTGAAGAGGGAGAAATCGTGATGATTGAGAAAGTCGTGAGGAAAAGGCCGTGGGTCGAGGGTCGTGGGTCGTGGAAAATCGAAGGCGAAGGGTCAACCGAGGAAGAACAGGCGGAGGAGAGGGTGGGTGTATTAAGCGCGCTTGACGATCCGCTTCATCGATGCGCGACTGGAGTGGTCCCGTCCGACCAGCGCAGGAACGTCCTCCGAGGGAGAGGCGACGTCGCGTTGCTGGATCGAGGAAGACCAGGCTTCGAATGCGGGAAGTGCGCGCTTCGAGAGGCGTGCGAGGGAGGGGACCTCAGCGTCGGCGGGCGAGGAGGAAGAGTCCTTGGGCGCGATGACGGTCAAGTTGATCGTCGAGTTCTTGACGCCGCTCGCCGACGAGGAAGGACCGGCAGAAGTGTCGACGACAGCCGAGTGCGATCCCGTCGTCGTCGAAGACTGCGCCGCGTCTTCCGAACTGAGCGAAGAAGAGTCGACGACGATCGAGTGGTGGCCGGTCGACTTGGTCAAGGCGCGAGGGGGGAGGATGTTGACGTGCACGGTCGAGTCTTCGATGCCTCCGTCCTCAGCTCCGTCCTGAGCGGAAGAGGAGGAGACGTCGACGAGGACGGAGTGGTCTCCCAGCGCGACTTTGCGGCGGGTCTTGCGCGAGGTGGTGCTCGAGTGAAGGTTGATGTTGACCGTCGAGTTGTGGATCCCTCCGACTCCGCCTGCACCGTTCGAGGAGGCGTCGATGTGGATGTTGTGGTGCTGAGGAGCGGACGACGAGGAGGTTGAGGAGGTCGGGGCGAAACGCTTGGTTGTTCGGTCGCGGCGGAGGGCGTCACCTTGAGCCTTGCGGTCGAGCAGGGCGCGGCTGCTGATGACCTGTGAGAGTGGGTGGCGATGTCAGCGGGGGAAAGCGAGGAAGGAAGGAACGAAGGACGCACGGTCAGGTTGATGGTTGAGTTGTTGACGCCCGCTGCGCGCTTGACGCGGTCGGTGGTGCTGCGAGAGTGCGCAAGACAAGAAAGTCAGCCAATGAAGGAGCGAGGAGGCGGCGGGGAGCGAACGCACAGGTTGATGTTGATGTCGCTGCCCTCGATCGCCTTCTGCAGCTCAGCAGGGAGGACCGAGTTGGGGATCGAGTGCGTCGAGGTAGATCCGTTGGCGAGCGAGGTGTGCGAGATGTTGATGTCGCGCGGGGAGGGCCGTTGCCGTGCCAAGGGGAGGGCGTGGGAGAGGGAGGCGAGGGAGAGGAGGACGACGAGTGCGGAGGGGAGCTGCATGGTTGCTGGGTGTAGCTGGTGTGTGTGTGGTAGCAAGCTAGTCGAGCAGCAGCAAGTCGAGTCTCGGTCGAGAGCAAGAGGGAGGGAAGTGAGCGAGAGTGAGGAGAAGGAGGAAGAGAAGCGAGAGCGAGCGCAGGCGGGCTTAAGAGGGCTCGCTCTGGTGTGTGCAGCCATCCTTGCGAGTCTGAGCGCGGTGTCCAGCAGTCTGCACCGTTGCGAGCGAGAAGGCGAGCGGCGAGGAAGCCAACCTGGCGCGCGCGGCGAGATGGCGGGCAGCCCTTCTCCCGCTCACAGGGGGCACTCGCACAGCTTCCCTCGCCTCTCACACCGCGCAACCCCCTTCGCAGGGCTAGCTGCGTGCACCAGTACGTTCACAGCACAGCTTCTGGTAGTTTGAACCAGTCATCTGCTGGTTCGGGTGCTCGTGAGGGTGGCACTCGCTCGATGACCCGGGGGCGAGATGGCGGGTAGAGCGATCACTCAACCCGTCTGCGCCTTCCGCACACTCCGGGCGAGCTGGCTTGCCCTCGTCCCCGTCGTAGCTCGCTGGGCTGTGCGCTGCGCCATCTCCCCTCCCTCGAACTCCCACTCCCGCTACAGAGGCAGGCTCCTCTCTCCCACTCCTCCCCTTCACCCTCCCGCACCCAACTCGCACAGGCTGCGACCCACTCCCTCCTCACCATCGAGCGCCGCACTACCACCACACGACTCGCACACTCGACTCGCGCCTGCATCGGTCCACCCAACTCGCTCGTCTCCCCTTCACACCGCCAGTCGGTTCCCTCCCTTCTCGACCCGACTCGACTCGCAGCTAGTCTGCCCTCGACCGTCATCCCCTCGCACTCCCTTCGCTCGCACAGCCAGTCACCCCAGCACAGGATGCTCTCCCTCTCGACCTTCTCCTCCGCCCCGGCCAGGCGCCACTCGTCCTCCCCTCTCCCTCTCGTCGCCCTCCTCGTCGCCCTCCTCGCGCTCCTCCAGCCCACCTCCGCCCTCCCAACAACCCGCAACACCGGTACCATCGAGCCGCTCTTCCGCCGCGCCTCGCCGCAAGTCGGACCCGTCCGCTCGCTCGAACGCCTCCGCCTCAGGAGGGACCTCAGCAGTGTCCCGCACGGTCGACGAAACGCCGAGGTCGCCAACATGAAGCGCGACGAGGTTCACGTTGCGCCGGTCGCGAACCCCAAGACCAAGCGCGAAGAGGTCCCCGTCGTCGTTGCTCGCGCGGTCAACCCCAAGGCCAAGCGCGCGACGCCGCAGGTCGTCCGGAACCCCAAGACGAAGCGCTCGCGGGTCGAGTCTTCCTCCACCGGACAAGCCATCAACCTCCAGCGCCGCGCGGCCGGCCTTCCCGCCGTCGTCATGAACCCGAAGAAGCGCTCGCTCGATGCCCAGCTCGAGAAGCGCGCGGTCCTTCAAGCGACGATCTCGGTCACGCCTAGCCGCTCGAGCGTGTTTGAGCGCGTCAAGCGCTTCCTCGCTGGACGGGCGGAGAAGAACCTTGAACGACGGGCACCGGCTGCGGCGGCTTCGTCGACTTTCTCCTCGACTATCTCGAGACAGGTTGGTGTTACGCGCGTCGTGCCGAACCCCAAGTCGCCCAAGTTTACCTCGGTCGGATCGGCTTCGTCGTCCTCCGCTCCTTCATCGACCACGACAAGCCGTGCTGCCTCTTCCACCACCACCTCGAAGCCCACGACCACCGCCGCTCCGAGCACCACCTCCACGACCACTTCAGCCGCGCCAACCTCGACAGGCTGGCCGAACGGTCCGATGATTGCGGGCGGATACTACCCCGACTGGGTCGAGGACGTGATGCCGCCCGAGGCAGTCAACTACAAGCTCTTCGACT